TCAACCATTGCACAGTCCTGCCTCTTTTCTCTTGGGGTTCAGTTTCTCCCTGCCCCACAAGGTCTGGATCACATGTATGGTTTCTCCTGCATAAACTAACTTCACTCTGTTTATGTCTTACCTTTCTTCCGCTTTGGTTCCTGTGTTGCTCAGTGGGACAGTGATGGGTGTTTTGGTGTGGGGAAGGGCTCTTCACTATGCAGCACTCTCCCTGCCCAGCACCTTTCTCACCTCTGGCCCCTGGGCACTAAATACTAGTAGGAGTCCCCTACCCAGTTGCTAAGACAACAAAAATCCCCACAATAGACTTCCAGACATCCCTACCACTGTCTGAGCAGTGCTTCCATTCAGCGATTGCTCTGTTAGGATACGTAACTACTACTGAGCAATTTAATTGGTGTATTTATTGAATAGTTTCAGGAATGACCATAGTAATCACTTATAGATATTTTTAAGTTTATTTATTTATTTTGAGAGGGGTAGGGGCAGAGAGAGAGAGAGAAAGAGAGAATCCCCAGCAGGTCCTGTGCTGTCAGCTCAGAGCCAGACGCAGGGCTTGATCCCACGACCTCAAGATCACGACATGAGCAGAAATCAGGAGTCAGACACTTAACTGACTGACCACCCGGGTGCCCTCTGTATTTTTAACACTAACACATCTGAGGGTTTACATGGCCCAGACCTCAGCATAGAATCATATTTAAAGAAGCACAAACCAGGGGTGCCTGGGTGGCTCAGTCAGTTAAGTGTCTGACGTTGGCTCAGGTCATGATCTTGCAGTCCATGAGTTCGAGCCCCGTGTTGGACTCTGTGCTGACAGCTCAGACCCTGGAGCCTGCTTCAGATTCTGTGTCTCTCTCTCTCTCTGCCCCTCACCCACTCGTGTTCTGTCTCTCAAAAATATATAAATAAACATTAAAAAAAGATTTCCTCTTTCTAGGAAGGAAGGAAGGAAGGAAGGAGCACAAACCAGGAGCCAAAAGTAATTTAAAAGAAATGCAGGTCCTCGTCAAGAATCACCCACATCCACGCAGCTCAGGCGTCCCTGCCGCTGCTCCCAGCTCCCGTTTGCCCTGTGATGTGACTCTGTCACCTGGTCAGAGAGGCCATGTGTCCAATCCCCCTACTGCAAACATCCGTGTAACCTTCCTGCCAGCAGGTGTGAATCCAGCAAAAGACAGCAGGAAAATAACCCAGAGTTGCCTTGTGCACAAGGAGGAAGTTAAGCAAGACCCTGATCAATCACCTTTGCTAAATTCTTTTTGTCCCATCCAGATGGGTGCCAAAATCTTCCATTTAAAAGGCATTTTTCTATCCATTGTCTCTGATGCACCTCTGAGGTGGGCAAAGGAAAGCTCATGCCCCAGTTTGCAGAGAAGCATCCTTTTAGTGGTTTTGCCCAAAATAAAGTGAGTGACAGGGAAGAAATACCGGCCATGGTTCCAGTGACTCCAGGCCTCAGCACCGAGAATTTGGAGAGTTAGAATAATCCCAGGCTTATATGGATCTAACGTGCTAGAATCAGGGATCAAAAGGGAGAAAAAAGGGCAGGGTGAAAAGAGCCATCACTGTTGCTTCCCAGACCCCTGGGGTCGCCCACCCAACCCTGCCCTGTGCCACCTACCTCCTTGCAGATCTGACCGCGGCTTCTTTGTGGGAGGTCGATAGGAATCTCTCTTCCCCTCCCTGCCCAGCTTTTCTTTTCTTTTTAAAGTTTATTTATTAATTTTTTGAGAGAGAGAGCCAGTGTGCAAGTGGGGGAGGGGCAGAGAGAGAGGGAGAAAGAGAGAACCCCAAGCAGGCTCCACACTGCCAGCCAGCGCAGAGCCTAATGTGGGGCTCAAACCCACAGACCATGAGATTGTGACCTGAGCCAAAATCAGGTGTCAGACACTTAACTGACTTGAGCCACCCAGGTGCCCCCCGCCAGCCACCCAACTTTTCTGATATATAATTGATATATAACTTTATGTACGTTTAAGGTATACACTGTGTTGATTTGATAAGGAATTTCATTTTCCTTTAACTTATCATTTAGCTGCCTTTTTTTTTTTTGACCATAACTTTCTTATGAAGAAGCTTCTAAGCCAGCACCCTGTGGGAATGTCTCTGTTCTGAAGCCCCACATCACCACCTGCTGGGCCCTGGGCTGCCTGTTTTCCATGGGCTGAGACACTCCCAGCTCTCTGAATTATAAGGTTTCTCTCCATCCCCCTTCCCCACCACCCCCTCGATCACAGGCCATCTGTCCCTGCACTGCCCACTCTCAGCCCTTTTAATAGCACCATCCTTGGGGAGGATGGTCTCCACAGTGGTTTCATAACAGGCTTGGGTGAGGGTGGGGACGCCCCAGTGCTGCCAAGGCGTTTAATCGAGTTGGTTATTCAAGGAGACTAGCAGCTAAAAAAGTCCTAATGGGGGAAGAGTTTTCCAAGGTGGGGGCCCTTCTTTCAGCTCCCCACCCAGATGGATGGATGAATGCACACATCAGAAAGGATGGAAGGAAAGGGGGAGGGGAGAGGATGCCTTTCTAAAAATACAGCCCATCTGCATTGTGTTAGCTGGTTTCCCCGGAAACCACTGGGAACAGAGAGCTCCAGCATGGCTCAGAGGTGCAGGGACCTGGGGCCCTGAGTAGGCAGGGACCTCCCTGCTGGGCTTCTTCCCTGGGGGGTGAGGGTGGGGGCCCTGCCCCTCTCCATTAGCTTCCCATGAGGCCTGGGTGGCCGTCAGCTCCCAGCCCAACCTCAGCACATCTAAACCCCAAACTAGACTCAGGTGGGGATCCCCATGCTATCACGAGGCATCTTGATAATACTCTGGAGGACTGATGCTTCCTGCTTCTAACAGGAGGGAAGGAAGCCCAGGGAAGGTCTGGAGCTGCCGCCTGGTCTCATGACAGTCTGCCACAGGAATAGGTCCCATCTGAGGCCCTGTGCCCTTGGGCCCCACACAACCACAGTGCAGACTCCATAGTCACTGGGCCTTCCATCTGGGAAGGGATGGGGTGGGATGTGTCTTCTGACCAACCAGCTAGTGGGATTGTCAGCCTTCAGGACGGAAAGGAAAGTCTGAGGGCTTCACCCTTAAGGTGACCAAAATAGAGGGGCACCTGGAAGGCTTAGTCGATTGAGTGTCTGACTTTGGCTGAGGTCATGAGCTCACCGTTCGGGGTTTGTGAGTTCAAGCCCCACATGAGGCTCTGCACTGACAGCGTGGGGCCTGCTTCATATTTCTGTCTCCTTCTCTTTCTCTGCCCCTCCCGTGCTCTCTTTCTCTCTCTCTCTCTCTCTCTCAAAAATAAACATTGAAAACAATTTTACAAGTGACCTAGAGAGAATTGGGGGGGGGGGCGGGGAGGGGTGTGAATGAATGGGAGGACTGAATGAGCACTGGACTAAAGCAGGGACTCAAAGACCCCCTTTCCAGGCCTGGCCCTATCTGGGCATGCCATGGAGCCTCTCTTAGCCTTGGTTTCTTCATCTCCCTTCCCTTGAGGGTAAAATCAAACAGCACAAGAAGTCCTTTGTAAGCCATGAAATGCTTGGGAGAATAAGGCACTGCTGATCATCTCCATATAGCCTTTTAAAAGTGTTGGCTTTTCTAGATTTCAGTTGATAGACTCTAGTTTTTCAGTCCTCCACCTAGGAATAATGCCTATAAGCTTTATATGTACATCCTTTCAGGCTTCTCTGTGGAACTATTCCTATTTTATAATCTCAAGGATACTGTATGTTTTATAACTTCTTTTTCCATTTATTATGACACAAGCATTTCCCCATGGTATTACATAATCGTTTACAAGTGATTGACCTGCAGTCTGTGGAATGCCCTATTCATGGACATTTAGCATTTTCTAGTTTATTATTATTATTATAAAAGGCACTGTGGTGAGCACTCTTACAGATAAATCATTAGGTGCCCTCTCTGGTTTCCTTAGGAAATTTCTTCCAGGGAGAGGACTGTGGAGTCCAAGAATATGAACCTTTTAAATTACTTTAATTCATTCTGCAAAACTGTCCTCCAGAAAGATGTAACAATTTATGCACCCACAAGCCGTGCAAGAGAAATGCCAGTTCTGGGGGGGGGGGGGGGGAGTATCTTGCTTTAACTTGAATGTATTTGACTTCTAGTGGGCTTTAATATTTTCTCGTGTATTTATTGGTCAATCTTAATTCTTTTCTGGATTTCCAGTTCACGTCCTCAGCTAGTTTTTCTGTTACTGCATTCTAATCTATGACGTCATGAAATCCAAGTAGGAATGGCTGTGCCAAGCTGGACAGATTGTCTCCGACGCCCCCACCACCACCACCTCCAAATATACACACAGGCGTGCATGTATACACACATGTGCACGTGTAACCCTTTCCTGAGGTTTAGAACCCCAGGGTCTCCCAGGAACACTCAGCTGTTAGGGCCTGGGACCTATCATGTGGCTGTGGGTTGAGTGGCCATCCCTCCCTGCTGCTGGCACATGGAGACTGGCACCCCCTCTTTCACTGCACACTGCCTGCCACACTGGGGGGCCAGGCTTTTCTTCCCAGGCCCCCAGGACAGCCCTGGGTTCTGTTCCTCCCCGACCCTTCCGGGATCCCACTGTCCACTTCCAACCACAGGGGGCTTCTGTCTGCATCTGCCCCTGCATGTGGCCTCCCCACACCCATCCCCCTGCATCTCAATAAATGCAGAATTTTCCTTGAAATTGTTTCAGGAGTCATCCTGTGGTGCCTTTTCTCTTTTCTTTCTTTCTAAACATGCTTTAACTTTTAAGAGCAAATAATATAATGACGTCCTCTGAGCCAAACAGGCGGCTCTTTGCAGATGAAGCCTTGCTACCCCATGAAGCACTGCGAGATGCAGGGAGGATGGGGCAGTCCGTGCGGAGCCCTGTGCCCCTGCCTGGCCTGGGCTTGTGCTGCCCTCCTCCGCAAGGGGGGAGATTAAGCATCAGGGCCCAACCCTCATCCTCGTCCGCCCTCCCTCCCTCCCTAGGGCTCCTGCTCCACGACGTGACCATGGCCGGGCTGCAGGAGCTGCGATTCCCTGAGGAGAAGCCACTGCTCCGGGGCCAGGACGCCGCTGAGCTGGTGAGTCGCCCCTTCGCGGTCCTGGGGCGGAGGGCGCCACCTCGTGGCCAAGAAGGAAAACTCGTGCCTTCCCTCCAGTCTTGCTGATGGCAAGGAGCCCTCGGACCGCCCACGGGGAGCCGCGGGCCTGGCGGCTTTGGCTGTCTTTGGGGCTGGGAGGCTGTTTGGGAGAGTTATTCCCATTTCAGTGATGAGAAAACTGAGGCACAGGAAGTTAAGTCACTTGGCCAAGGTCGCATAGCTATTGGGGAATGAGGCCATACTCAACCCTCAGTTCTGAGAGGCCCTGGAGCCCCAGGAGGTACCCACTGGGGAGTGCCAGGGCCTTTCCTCACCTGCGGCCTTCTGTGTCTTTCCTCACAAGCCTCCGAGGGACGAGGGCAGATATTACCAACAGAGCCGTCGGGAGCAGTAGGACTGAGGCTGTCAAGGTGTTTGTGTCCAGAGGGCTCCCACTGGGGCACCAGACATTAGATTCCAGAGTTGTTTCTACCCCATGTCGTGGTGACGCCTAGCACAGCCTCCCTCCCCCTCCCTGCAAGGAACAGCTGAGGGTCCACTGCTTGTAGAATCCTGGCATGTCAGGACCCCGGGTCTCTGCTGGTTGTGCTGCTCACTCCTCCTCTTACAGGCGGGGAAGCCAAGAGCTCAGTCCCGGAAACCCCACCACTCCTGTCTCCACCCTGCCCTTTCACAGCCTCCGGCCGGGAGGGGAGCCCAAGTGCCACTGGGGGCCTCCTGTTGGGACAGAGTGGCTGGCTGGGGCTCCGGGGCCCAACCACATGAGGCTCAGGTCCTGCCCGTTATCTTCAAGACAGAACCTTGAGTTAACTGACAAAACCTGAGTATGTGGGGGCAGCTCCCAGGAATGGTCAGGGGGTGGCTGGTGAGCTGCACCCGTCCTAGCCTGTCCTGCCTCCCTGTTCCAGGCCCCCTCATCTCCTGTCTGCCGGCCTCTCCCCAGTGCTCTCCTTACCCTACAACCTTCTAAAGCACATCATGTCACTTTCTGCTTGAAGCTGGTCAGTGGCTGCCACCTGCTCGGAGCTACCACCACCATCCTTCCCAGGCCCAGGATGAGGCGTGCACCCGCCCCCCAGGCTCCCCGCTTCCTCCCTCTTCTGTTGCCGCCAGGCCCACCACTCTTCCTTGTACTAGCCAATCATGTTCCCAGCTGCTTCCTCCGCCTGAGGTACCTAGCCCCGAACTTCCCCTCATTTTATTCAGGCTCTGATCAAATGCCCCCTCCTCCAAGGGGCTTTGTCTGACACGGGGTCTGATATTGATGCCCAGATCCTGTCTGTTTGATTTCTGGTCTCCCTGATGCCTAACCGAGCCTTGCACAGTGTAGGCTCTCAGCGAAGAGGGTTGGGTCATCACAGACTGAGATGCTTCTCAGAAGGAAGTTTCTCCAAACTTGTTGAAAAAGCCTCTCCTCCTCACAATCCCTTTCAAGTCATGCGAGCAGAGACCAGCCTGCTTGTGAGACTTGGTGGGCAGATGGTGCCCTTGGGGACCCCTGGACCTCATCACAAGGGCTGAGGTTGGGATCAGAGAGCGGCCGCACGGAGGTCTGCCTGCTGGTACCAGGTGTAGGTCTGTGGTCGGCACGTAGAACTGAGGGCACGACAGCCTCACGCCTCCGTGCCTGTCCTTCCACCCTCACCTCAGCACCCCAAGACATGCCCCCACACTCCTCCCCTGCCAGCCCGGCCCAGCCTTCGCTGGCCCTCCCGCCCTGACTCGGCAAGCATGGCTCCTTTGACCAGCAGCCTGGCTCTGCTTTCTGTCTGTCTGCTGCATCTGGTGTCCCTCACTTCATCCCACCTGGACCTGGACCAGAGTTTGCCACTGTGACGTGCTCGCCCTGCACAAGGGTCTGCATCTCAGCCCTGTGTGGAGGCCTCAAGTCCCCAGCTCAGTTTCTCTCTCTCTCTCTCTCTCTCTCTCTCTCTCTCTCTCTCGGGTTGGCACAAGTCCCATGCTGTGGACCTGGTCACGTCTGCTTTTACCAAAGGCACGTTAAAAGCCCCAAACACCTGTGTGCTCCCAGCATGGCCATTGTGGATTCTAGTGGCCTCACTCTTTGCCTTCCAGAGCTATCCTGGCTCTGGCTTTCTCTTACGCTGATTCTCCTTTCGTAGCTGCGGTGTGGGAAGGGGTCTGTCCCCTCACTTTTTTCTTTTTCTCAAGATATATTTGAGAGACAGAGTTCAAGCAGGGGAGGGGCAGAGAGAGAAGGAGACACAGAATCTGGAAGCAGGTTCCAGGCTCCGAGCTGTCAGCACAGAGCCCGATGTGGGGCTCAAACCCACGAACTGTGAGATCATGACCTGAGCCGAAGTCGGACGCTTAACCGACTGAGCCACCCAGGTGCTCCTCTGTCCCCTCACTTTTTAAACCTGCAACCTGCTAGGTGCAAGTTCTTGAGTCCAGGGAGGAGTGAATGTTTCCACATCTCTACCCGCCATCTCTCACTGTTTCAGGTTTGCTCACCTCTGAAGACTCGGCCGCCAGGTGTCCAGGGCTCTGTGGGAGAACTGTTGCCCCTTCTCCCTGTGCCTGCATCCCCATCCTCCCCACAGGTGCTCCTGGGCCTCCTCCCACCTGCCTTCCTCCCACTGTTCCTGCACCTCCAGGACCTCCCAGGGTCTCTGGATTGCCTTGTATTATTCCTGCTGTTGCTTGGTTTGGGGTCCTGCCCCTCCAGAGGCTTTCCCATCTCCTGGGGACCCCCAGTACCCTGAGAGCACACAGCACACCCTGCCATTATCTGCCTCATCCCTTGTGCTGATTTTGTTTTTAACAAAACTGTTCCCTTCTCTGAGATAACTGTGCCCTTAGGATTCCCAGGTATAAAAATCTCTCACATCTCTTTCCCACTTGGGGGTGATCTTCCAGTGAGAGGATTCATCAGTAACCAGCCTCGTCCCCTTCCTGAGACCACCATCCTCTCCGGGAGGCTCTGGGAGTGGCCTGACCAACCTCCATGCTCTCCACCCCTCCCCCAGGCAGAACCCTCCCGGCCCTGGAGGAGCCAGAAGGTGAAGCCAGAGGACAGCCATTGTGTCTGATACAGTTCGAGCTGCAGGAGACCTGGCTTTCCTCCTTGGGTGGGAGGCCCTCTAGTGCCATCTTATTCTCTCCACCACCCCCACCGCCCCAACTGCCACACAGCAGGTGGCTCAACTTTTCCTTATTTTGAGAGTAAAACACCCGAATTGCTGGTTTTCATTCTTTTTACTCCTGTGATTTAGGGTCATTTTCTTTCTTGTACTTAGTTGCCCACCCCTTGGGTTGCCGTCCTCTGACAACATCCCTGTCCTCATCTGATTGTCTCATTTATCCGTGTATTTATTCAGTAGAGCCATAGGGAGCATGTGCAGCATACAAAGTCAAGTGCAGAAGTATAAAGGACAGAGTGACAGCTAACACCGTGCTTCTCTTGAATCCTCGCAGACACAGGCTCGGAAGCAAGGTGGCCTGCCCTGTTTGTCATAGCTGAGCAGAGGGGAGGAGAGGTTTCTAGACAGACACAGTCGAAAGCAAGGCAGAGACCCAGGATCTCTGGTTTTCCAGGAAATGTGCTGGTCCTCCCCTCATCCTCATGAGGTTTCCTTCCCTAGACCAGAACCCACAGAAGACGAGTGTCTGAGGGCTGGTAGGTGGCATTGGGGAGAACCTGGCCACACAGACATATAGGGTTCTAGCCCTCTTGCATTCTGCCTCTCTGTGCCTTGCCAACAATGGGTGCTTCTGAGCTCAGTTCCTCTCGTTTGCAAAGTCAGACTCGTTCTTCCAAATCTGTTTGGATTTGGGAAGCCCATTCCATTACAGGCTTTCTGGTTGGAGCAGAGTCAGACACGGTCCTGCCTTCATGGCACTTACAGCCCAGTGCAAGGGACAGGCACCGGTGACTCACACCGTTTGGGGTAAATGAGCCTGAAAACAGGAGACCTCCGTGCTTTGAGAGCACAGAGCAGGCACGTCTGGAAAGGTGGGAGCAAGCACAGGCCCAGACAGAGCCTCTGTGCAGCTTAGTAAAGCCCACGAGTTCCTCCCTCACTGCATGGGCCCCAACTTCCCCATCCCTAAAATGGGTGTGCTGCCATGTCCCAGTGACCTTGAAAACCATCTGTGGGGGGAAGCAGGACAAAGTAACAAACGATAAAGATTTGGCTTCATCAGAGATCCCACCCTTTAATAGCTGTGTGATTCAGCCCTCTAAGCCTCACTCTTCCTACCTGTAAGATGGTAATCTTCACATTTTATTATTTTTTTAATTTTTTTTTTTACGTTTATTTATTTTTGAGACAGAGAGAGACAGAGCATGAATGGGGGAGGGTTAGAGAGAGGGAGACACAGAATCCGAAACAGGCTCCAGGCTCTGAGCTGTCAGCACAGAGCCCGATGCAGGGCTCGAATTCACGGACCGTGAGATCATGACCTAAGCCGAAGTCGGACACCCAACCGACTGAGCCACCCAGGCGCCCCAAGGGAATCTTCACATTTTAAATGAATAGGTAGAATTCATAGGTATGAGTCGCTGCTTGTAGGCTCGTCCATCAGGCACTTACTGGCCTGATGCCTGGGAGGCCCTGCATCACTTTTGTTAACAGTAAGATGGACTGGGGAACAGCTAGCGAGTCTGCTCAAGGCTGAGCCCCTGTGGTCCCCCTGGGCCAGCCAGGACCTAACATGCCACCTCTCTGTTTGCCTCCCCTTAGGAGAACTCCGACACCTTCCTCTTGGCGGTGGACACAGACTGGAAGGTAGGTCTCAGCTCAAACTGCCAAGGTAGGGGCCTGACAGCTGGTTGTCACCTTACCTTGCCCAGCCCGGCCCCAGAGGAGGGTCACAGCCCTTCTGTGCGGGCACCTTGCAGCCTCCAGGACCACCCGCCTGCTCACAGCAGGTTGATCTGCCCTCTGCCCAGTGGAGACGTGCTGCTCTTTCCCTGAACAGGACTGAAGCAGGGGTGAGGCCTGGGGAGAGTGAGGATAGAGATGGGATGCTGTCATCTGAATCAGCACTTTCCTCCAGTGAGGAAACTCTCCAGTGAGGTTGGTGCTCTGAAATAGCTCCTGTTTCCATGGAAGCTGTTGCCGGGACAACCGTGTCCTCTTTAGTTTGATGCCAGATTCCCCGTGAAAATTGAAATTGTTCTTTGTTTTTATTCCTCTGCGCGATGAGTTCGCTCACTTAGCCAGCCGTTTCTCTCTGAGTCCCATCATGGCCATTTATTTCCGGGTCTTGGAAAACATCTGGTGGAAGACACAATGGGGAACCTCAGTGGGTTCCAGGGCCCTGCTGGCCGTCAAAACCTGCTGAACAAAATCAGATCCTTCTAGGCCCTTCCTCCTGGCTAGATGGAACTAGCCCCCAGGCCACCGCCCTGGCCCCACCTGACTTCAATTTGGTTTGGTCTCAGAGCCCCAGGATAGCCCCAGCCTCCTGGTCTGGATGCAGGGTGACAGAAGAAGTAGGGTGGCCTGCAAGCTGCTCCCCCTCATGCACAGTGCTGCAGCAAGGATCCAGATCCCAGGCCTGTGCATCAGGCCCTGTGTCCCTTCAAGGACACCAGAGGAGGCTTCAGAACAATGCATGTGCTCTGATCCCTGGGGAGCATCAGTTCAAACACAAAGGGCTCTGGAGCTGAGGGTAGGATGGGGTCTGGGGAACAAACAGGAGCCTGTGAGGAGGGAAAGGAGGGACGTGGCCAGGAGATGGCCCAGGCCCAGCTGGAGATCAGTACAGGCACCTCAAGGGGGACTTCTCGTCCTCCCTGCTCAAATGAAGGCAAGAATGTGTGGACAGACAGCCCTCAGCCCCTGCCTGACACCAAGTGGGACCTGCCAGACCAGGTGCTGACTACCAGCCCCCAAAACACACTCTGGAGGTTTTGAAAGGAGAGAAGGGAGTCCTGGGGTCCTTTGCAGCTCAGTCCTTGTGTACCAGGCCCAGCCCAGGGCTACTGCTGGCAGTGCCTGGGACCCTCTGCCTGGTAAAGGGCAGCATGTGCTAAAAGGCACCTTGCTGTCTCCAGTTGCACCACATGGAGGCTGCACAGAGGCTGCCTTTTTTTTTTTTTAGACGAGCAGCTGAGAGGACGGATGACCGTTATCTGGGCCAAGGCCTGGCAGGGATTTTATCCCCTTTGATTCCTTGCCTCAATGGACCCAGCCAGTGGGGGAGGCAAGACAAACAAGAGCCAGACAGACCTGGGTCCAGGGCCTGGCCCTGCCACTTATGAGCCATGTGACCTCCAACACACGTCACTGCCTCATTTGTACAGTGAGGACAGAGCTCGGACCTCCCCACGTGTTTGTAGGGAATGATGCCCAAGGCCCAGCACTCAGATGCCGAGAGAACTGTGGCTACGGCCACCACAGCATGGAGTCAGAGGCAGACTACCCGAGTGTGGTTCCTGGTTCTGTGTGACGTTGGGCAGGTTACAGAAATTCTCTGTGCTTCATTTTCCTCGTCTATAAAGTGGGTGTTAAGAGGATAAAATAAGGTAGCACCTGTAAGGCATTTGACAGAGACTGGCAAGTGGGAGATAGGCTAATAAGCATTTGCTACTCAAAAATGTGACTTCAGGCCCGGAGTGCTAAGGTGCTGGTAAGATCCATGTTTACTAGCTGTTTGGGACACTTAACTTCTCTGTGCTTTAGTTTTCTCATCATTTTCCACAGGTGTGTGAGGACTGTGTGTTATCCTTGCAGCCACTCATGCAGACAGCACAGCTATTCTCCCATTTACAGATGTGGAGGCTCAAAGAGGTTGACTGACTTCCCCAGGGTCACACAGCAGAGAAGTGGAAGGGATATGACCGGAGCCTAGATTTGGCTGGTAGGACCTGAGCCTGCCTCGTCCAGCCACAACTGCACAACCTCCAGGGAAGGGGCCAATTCCCAGTTTGGAGAGGCACACGGATTGCCTGGGCACATTTCTCCCCTGTCAGGGCCTGGGCAGGCATGGGCTCAGGTCTAGAGCCCCTCATGCAGCTCTTTCTTGTCTTGGTAGCAACTCTTCAGGAAAGCATGGTTCCTGTTTTATAGTTGAGGAGGCTGAGAAATTAAAAATCCTTACCCAAGGTTACCCAGCTAGTGGGTGGGGGAGCTGGGACTTGAACTCAAGTCTATGGATTTGAAGGCAGTGAGCCGAACAGAAATCGGGCCATGGATTAGAGTGGGCAGTATCCAGGATCAGCTTCTCAGTTGGGTCCAAGGGTGGCCACTCAGAGGTCAGAGGCTGGACTGGGCATAAAGTTGGAAGGCGACCATGGAAGAGCAGGGGTTTAGTGGCAGAAAGGGTGGGAGGATACCCTTCGCCCCCTTTGAGGAGCAGGTAGGAGCATTTTGTGGACAGGGCAGGGGGCGTGGCTGTGCCAAAGTGGCCGCAGAGAACAGGGAACATGGCTAGTAGGTGAGGGGCCGTGGGACACCGTGCTCCGTATCCTGGCAAGAGGTCAGAGATGGGGCAGGGAAAGTCGTCGGTGTGCTCCAGACAGAGGATGTGGCCAGGAATAGCACACATGGCAGGTGTTGACCAAATCACTGGGCACCAGAGATGAGGAGGTGACCCCCTTCCCTCAGTGCTGCCAGACAGCATGCAGGGCTGTCCATGCTCCTTCATCAAAGAGACAAAATGGGGGCACAGGCGCCTAGCACCCTCCTTCTCTGTGTGGTTCCTGCCGCCTCAGTCCTTGGGCTCTCTCCTCTGCTCACCTCCCTGACCTATTTCCTCTCCTCGGCCTCCTCCTTCCCAGTTTCCTCTACCTGCAGGACTCAAACCAGCTCTCTACCCAAGTCCTTGCTGTTCAGGACAGGGCAGAGAGCCTGAGGTGGCCTCTGCATCCTGGCGGCCCCCCCCCACCCCCCTGGGAGCCAAGCCCCACACTGGTTGTGGGTGGGTCTGCAGAAGGTGGGCGTGTCCACTTTGACAGGCTGACCCCAGTCCCTCCTCTCCCTGGTAGCCTCCAGCCCCTTGCTGCAGGGTGGGGGTGGGGAGGGCAAGACTGGTGCGTCCCCACCATACTTGCTGGTTCTGCAATCTGCCCAGGCCCCCTGCGCCCAGAACCCCCATTTCAGCACTGTGGGCAGGCACTAGGCGTGCATGTGGGCAGAATGAGGGCTACCTGAGAGGAGAACCTGGGGAGTGGAGAAGGAGAATTCCCTGGAACAGGGTCACGAAGGAAGGTTGCCCCAGACAGCCAGTCACTTCCCCGTCCCTTCAAGGTTAAGTCATCCAGACCTTTCTGACGTGGAGATTGGGCTCGAGGCCATCTCAGGCCCTCCCCGCCCCCCTGGGAATGGGACAAGGGCGGGGCCGCCTTGGGCATGCCTGTGTGGCCTCCCCTGCCCCGCGTTAGTGTCCGTGTTCATGAGAGCTCCTGTGTACCTGACACAGGGCACACCTGTACGTGTGGTCTCTTCTCTCATCTTCCCAGGACCCCTCGTGCAGCTGCAGCTGTTGGTGTGTGCCCGCGCGGGAGGTGGGGGGGCGGGAGGTAGGGGCTAGGGACCATGGAGGATGATGTGTTGCTGGGGGCGGGAGGAGCAGGGGGAGGAGCAGGAGCCGGTGAGAGAGGACTTCGGAAGCCAATCAGAGTCAGGTTTGTCTCCCGACAGCCAATCTGGAAGCGGGGGCTGGGGGCGGGGGGAGCGTGGCTGCGCAGAAACCCCGCAGGGAGGCGGGGCCGGCCTAGGCCGAGAGCCTCTGCTTATAAATGGCCCGGGAGCGGCGCCCCATCACAGCGTCGCCGTCTCCCCTTCTCACTGCCCCCTCCTTTTGGACCGTGGTGACTCAGGCCTTTGTTTGCCCTTCCTGGTAGAGGCGGATCGCCTTCTTGCTCGGCAAGATGCCGGAGTGCTGGGATGGGGTGAGTGAGGGCTCTGGGGGCGGCCAGGTGGGCAGGGAGGACGGGACATCCCTCTGCCCCTGGCGGCGGATCTGCCTTCAGTCGCCTCACTTTGGGAGTCACCGAGGCAAGGCCAGCAGTTTCTAGTCTCCTGGTGCATCTCCTGGCCTGTGAATCAGTGTTGTTAGGGGGTTTAGCTGCCAGTCACGTCTGGCGGGGGAAGGGCCACCTGTCCGCAAGCCTGGGTGGACCGGTGTGTGCCATGTAAGTGCGTGCAATCCCCCGGCGGTGTGCCTCCGTCTGCAGGTGCCCGGTGGGCGTTCGTTCCTCAAGTGCTCAGACCATCTATCTCAGCCCTGGGGCAGGCTGTGTTCACTGCACGTGTCGGGGTCTCCACCTTCTGATCCCGTGAGGGGCTGTTCGGTCGGATCGCCCTCACCGAAGTGACAATCGAAGACAGCCTTCTCCCTTCCTTAAGAGTTAAGCTTTCAAAGCGCCTCCGTGGTCCCCAGGGAACTGTTGCTGGTAGCCAGTCCGGCTGAGGCGGGGAGGTCTGGGGGAGGTGCCACCCGAGCCTCAGGACCCAGGTCCCCAGGGGGAGAGCTCGAGGAGGGGTCGCGGCCCTACTTGGTGGTGTGGCCAACGCTGGAGCTATGATTGCAGCAGCAGTGCCCTGGGGTGCTGTCCTTCCTCCAGGAGGGAGAAGCAGGAGCACACCTCCTACACCCCCCACGCCTGGCCTGCCCTGAAGGTGCCACAGACCACCGGGGTGCTCCCACCCAGCAGCAACGTCATGCCTACCCGGGTTCACAAACCTGGGGGGCCGAGTCCCCGTGGTTTGATGGAATGACTGTGGCTTCAGCTCCCCCAGCCCTTCACCCCCTCCGTGTGCTGAAACCCGGCTGGGAGCACCCCCCTCCAGTCCTCAAGGTCACAGGAGAGAGGAGTCGGACGGCAGAGAGAGGACGTCAGAGCCCCCTCCCTTGTTGCTGCGGCAGCGGCTTCAAGCACCTGGGGGGGGGCTCTGACGTCACCAGGAGCCAATGGGAGCGCCCGGCCCTGAGGGCTGGGGGCTCCTAGTGGGTCCGGCCGCGGCCCTTGGATCACCCCTCTTGTGCAGGACCCGGAGGAGCGGGGACACTGGGTTTCCATCTGGCTGAGCTGGGTCTGAGCTCCTGGATTGGCCAGGGAGGGTTCAGCCAAGTCATTGGGCCGCAGAGGCCCAGCAACCGGGCCATTGCCCTCCACAGCCCATCCCACCCCGGGCAGTTAAGCCTTAGCAGGGAGAGCATTGCCCAGGCACCGGTGATGGTGTTGCTGCGGTCACACCAGGGCTGGGAGGCGGGTAGACACCCCTCACGCGCAGTCAGAGGGTGGAAGTCTGAGGTGGTGGCGGTCTGAGGGTGGAAGACTGCCACCCTGGGCCCGGACTTGAAGCCGGCAGGGCTAGAGCCGACCCACACAGACCTGCCCTTCACACCCGCAGGAAGCGCATTGCAGCTCTTGTGCGATGGGCGCCCCTCCTGCCCGCAACCCTCCCAGTCTTTCCCCACCCTCCCTCCATAGCACTGTGCATCCCTCCTGCCCCAGCCCTGCTCTTCAGAGCTAAGAGACTGTGGAGGATGCTGCATGCCTCCCTGCCCCCCACCCCACCCCTCACTGCCACCAAGCAGGGCCAGGCAGCTCTGGAAAACTGCCTGCTTGCAAATCTATTGGGTGGAGCCTTGACTGCATACCCCTGATCTCTGAGGCTGGCACCTGGCAAGGCCTGCTGTACCTTCTCTGGACTTGACCTTGGGAAAGTTATTTCTCCTTTCCAAACCTCAGTTTGCTCCTCTGGGGCTTGGGTCCCTGTGAGGAGTAAATGAGAAGACACATGAGAAGTGCCTGGTCAGAGTCAGTGAGCAGGAAGTGCTCCTTGTTTTGATGGCCCTGAGGGAGGACAGTCCTAGGATGTGGGGAGGCTGTGGTGGACCTGGGACCACTTAGAGGACATCAGGTTTCTTTAACAAGGTCTCACAGCAGAATTGTGGCTCCCAGGGTGTGGCCTTTGGCCATAGGGTTTATATCACCTTGTCATTCCCCACTGGAGACACAGGCCTGAACAGTGGTCCTCTGAGCCCTGACCCAAGAACACCAGGCCCCAGGAAGCTGCCTCCTGCCTCCTGAGTCTCCCCTTTTCTCTCAGGGGCAGGAACATGGTATCTCTCTGAACCTAAGCGTCCTCCATCTGCAAAAGGGGCAAATGCATGCATAACATGCATGGCCCCTGGCACACATGTTGTTCCTTTCCTGCCCTTGACCTTAGCTTCGCCTCCAACTCACAGGGACAACCCACAGGGATCCCCTTGGTGCAGGGCAAGGCTGTTAATTCAGCTCTGACAGACCCTCTTAGAGTCTGTCCTTCTAGTGGCCCAAAGTGACTAGCTGGCAGAGGGACCAGCCAGCAGGGCACCTCCCTAAGGCTCAGGGACGCCTGAGCACTTCAGCCTCCTTTTCTGCAAGTGCTACATGCTCCACAGACATCAGCTTCTTCCATTCTCATGGGGTCCCCGTGAGATGCGTGGGAAGAGGTGGCTGAGGCACAGAGAAGTGGTATATACCCTGTTCAGAGTCACACAGTAAGGGACAGAGGAGGTCTTGAACCTACATCATCCAGCACTGTTTCCTGAAGGACTAAAAACCCCAAGCCACAAAACCAAGGGCATGAACACAGGAGGATCCTATAGTGGTCACTGCAAGAAGGCCTTTGGGGTGGGAGTGCACATCTAACCATGCCCTGTTGGAAGGGAGGCCTTGGGGATCTGGGGGAGGGGCATTCGAGGTGGAAGGAACAGCATGAGTAAGAGTGTGGAGGTGGGAGCCAGGGTCAGGTGTAGGGGTTGGAAGCTGGGCTTGGCTGAAAGGGGAAGGTTACTGCAGATTCTAAGCAGGGCTGTTGAGGCCATTCACCTTCTGAATGGAGGAGGAACATGCTGAGGTCGCAACTCAGGCCAGGGTGGCAGAACTGTCCTGGAGGGGCTGCGGGGAGACAGAGAAAACGAGCTTCACTGGACTCTGCAGGGCCAAGGGCAGCAGGGCCTGGACACTGGCCGCCCACCCCACCAGTCTGCAGAACTTCCCCGTGCAGACTGGCTCATGCTGTCCCTGTGCCAGACGCCTCTGGGAAGGAGTGCTCCGTCTGCTCTGTTCTCCCTGGGGGCTGCTTGGGGTGATGAGAATGAGATGCCCCCCCGTTGGGAGGTGGAGGCCCCACCACAGGCCCATCAGCCCCCAGGCTGCCCATAAGCCGCAGTGAGGGCTGCCCAGAGTGTCTGGTACCGTTTCCCCTCCAGGAACATGACATCGAGACGCCTTACGGCCTTCTGCACGTGGTGATCCGGGGCTCCCCCAAAGGGAACCGCCCGGCCATCCTCACCTACCATGATGTGGGCCTCAATCGTGAGTGCACCCCAGCCTCATCCTGCCTTCCTCTGCCTCCCCTCCTTCCCCACAGGGCCCCGGAGATCCCCACTCACCCTCAGCTTGGTGCCCTTAGCCATTTGGGCCTTGGTGTCACTGCTGGGCCACGAGGCTGACCACCTCTGCCTTGCCCTCCCTCTCAGGGCCACAGGCCTCCCTACCCCTTTGCTGAGCCACAGCTGAGAGGTGTGTCTTTGCAGACAAGCTGTGCTTCAACACCTTCTTCAACTTTGAGGACATGCAGGAGATCACCAAGCACTTTGTGGTGTGCCACGTGGATGCCCCTGGTCAGCAGGTGGGGGCGTCACAGTTTCCCCAGGGGTAGGTACCGGGGAGCCCCCCTCCAGGTTTCCCAGCTCTGTGCCCCAGGCAGCACCTGGCCCTGACCTCCTGCTCTGCCTGCAGGTACCAGTTCCCCTCAATGGAGCAGCTGGCCGCCATGCTCCCCAGCGTGGTACAGCACTTTGGGTGAGTCTCTGCCCTTACCCTGTCCCTGTGCTGGGGGGGCCATCAGAGTTACCTGATGGCAATCATGGGAAGTAGCTCCCTGAGCCCTGGAGTGACCAGCCACGCTTTCCACCAGGTTCAAGTACGTGATTGGCATCGGAGTAGGAGCCGGAGCTTATGTGCTGGCCAAGTTTGCAGTGAGTCTCCTTACTTCCACCCCCACCCCAGGGCTGATGTCTCCTGGAGGGGGCCACCCTTCAACTATAGGAACATTTGCTCTTTCTTCCTTCTCCTTCCCCTCCCCGCCACTTCCTCTTCACTCAGAAGAGCCCTTTGTTTTCTTTTATTCACCCTAGGAAATAAAAAAAAGAGGAAGATTACTTTTTCCATACATTTCCTCAAAAGACTAGACTATAACTTGCTTACCATTATCCACAGCCAAAGTTTCTTTTAGCGGCAAACCATACAACTAACTGTTCTAGCCACTAAGTAAGGATTATCCTAATCACTCATTCAGTAATTAGGGTAATATTTAACATTAAGGCTTTTTTTCCCGTCTTTTCAAGTTTTTATTTAAATTCTAGTTAGTTAACATAGATGATAAAATTGGTTCCAAGCGTAGAATTTAGTGATTCATCACTTACATACAACACCCAGTGTTCATCACAAATGCCCTCCTTAATACCCATCCCCCATCTAGCCCATCCCCCGCCCACCTCCCTCCATCAACCTATTTGTTCTCTATCATTAAGCCTCTTATGGTTTCCTTCCCTCTTTTTTTCCTTCCTCTATGTTCATCTGTTTTGTGTCTTAAATTCCACATATGAGTGAAATCATGCTATTTGTCTTTCTCTGACTGACTTATTTCACTTAGCATAATACCTTCTAGTTCCATCCATGTCATTGCATGGCAAGATTTCTTTCTTTTTGATGGCTGAGTAATACTCCATTGTGTATGTATACCACATCTTCTTTATCCATGTCCAGTCGATGGACATTTGGGCTTTTTCCATAGCTTGACTACTGTGGATAGTGCTACTATAAATATTGGTGTGCATGTGCCCCTTTGAATCTGTGTTCTTGCATCTTTTGGGTAAATACCTAGTAGTGCAATTGCTGGATCCTAGGGTAGTTCTATTTTTAACTCTCTGAGGA